TGGGTGAAGGCGATACAAGTGACTCAACGACTTCTCTCTCATCGTCCGCAAGGATGCAAGAGTCGAGCGACAGGACTTGCTTAGCAATGGGCCGGCCTAGCAGTTCCTGTATCTTTTTCTTCAGGATACCCACAGTGGCTTGAGTGGGCAATGCTACAGTACGCTGTTGACTTATTCCTCCGATCACACCGAAGACGATAACCCTAATTATAAAGAGAGAGAGTAAGATTACAAGAAAACCCGTGTAATTTGTGGTTCGCAAGAAAGAAAGAGAAAGAAATTGAATAAATATGTAAAGAAAACCAAGAAACACCAAAGAATCAATCAAGATTCATATACACATAAAATTGTACTTACTCTATCGTCTCATTTTTACCCTCGGGATTTGATGCTTCTTCGTTAAATGGATCATAGTCATAATTGATCCAGGAATCCACCCTAAATTCGAGAAAACAATGGCCAGAAGAAGAAACCCATAAGCAGGAAGCACAAGTAGAAACAGCGAGAGTAATTAAAAAGACAAACAGTGAAAGTAATTGAAAAGACAGTAAGTATTAAAGCATTGGCTCGTACTGTTTGATTTCTTCATTTAAATTTGTCATATTACCAAGAGACCTGAAAAGAAAGCAAAGCAATCAAGCATGCATGCGAAAAAGTTGAAGAAAAGAAAGCATGCATGCAAAAAGTTGGAAAGATGTAGGAATGAAAAATATTAATGGCATACCTGGGAAATCTAAGTGAAAAAGTTGAAGAAAAGAAAGCGCAAAAAGTTGAAAAGACGTAGGAAATGGAAGAACATTAATGGCGTACCTGGGAAATCTCAGGGCCGGGCGAGCAGAAAGCAAGATAAAACAGAGTCTTGGTAAAATTTCTTCGTTTTAGTACTCCTCTCCGTCCGGTCTTCCTGCTAGCCTTCTTGTTGCTGTTATAAAATAGAAAGTTTCAAACAAAGTTTGATCAATTTATTTGTTATAATCATTTTATACATTTTTTTCTTGTCACCCTTCATTACAAACGAAATTACAACTCTGTGACTAAGGAAATGGAAAGGAGGATTAGGGTTGTTCTTGCTGACGTCAGCCACGAGGCTTTTTTTTATTTTTTATTTTTTTGCGCCAAACGTGTGTACACTTTACGCCACGTAAGAGGGAGAGTGACTGATAATAATCGACGGACAAGTCCCGTCATGACGGTCAGCTGCAATTCCAAATACTGGTCCAATTTAGATGCGGACGATGATTTGGCTTTTAAAGATGAGAATGACGATTTGAGAGTGAATCCGTCATTAATTACTCTTGTTACTGTTCTTCAATAGGCTCTTTCGGGTTCAGGTTTGAATGAAAAAAAATCCACATGGCAAGTTTTTGATTGTCTAATTCTAACACTTAATTTAATCCAATGACCCTCATTTTTTGTAAATAAAATTAAAAAAAGGTAAAAAATAAAAAATAAAAATCTTTTTTTTTTTCAAAAATGTCCAACGGCTAGTTTTCTTCTTCAATTTTTCTCATCCTCACACCAAAATTCTATATGATCTTTCCCTAGATATGCATCAACCTATTAAAATATTATAAGATGTCAATGGTGCGAGTTATAACAATACTTGAAATATACATAAATGTATCACAGGTTGTTTTTAACCCTCTAAACAAAGTTAAAAAGCCAAAATTCATCTTTTATTCGGGCCCAAGCAACGAATGATACTATTTATTGAAAATCAAGATTCTAAAAGCCGTTAGGTGCTAGTCGGGCGGTGGGGAGGGGCCTTTTAAAGTTTAATTAAATCTATTATTCAACATAAAAATAAATGCCTACTTATCCTTAAAACATAAATTGTGTTGGAAAACATAATTACAAAATAGAATGATATATTGATTATAAAACTATTATAACATACTAAAAACATGGGGAACAAACAATGAGTGTTCATCCAAGTACTCAACAAGTCTCTTATAAATTTATTTTCTTCCAAGTGAGAGTCACGACCTAAGGCAGATCTAGGCCCTCTTTCTTATTTTCCAACTCCTAGGGATTAATCGGAGTAGTGACCAGCCGCCTAGTGCCTAGGCGAAGCCTAGGTTGCAGTAGGCGGAGATTTTTAGAACATTGTTGAAAATACTATATGGACACATGGCACAATTATATATAGCCTATTAAAATAAATCTCATCCATTGAATATTTTTTAATAATTGAATTACAAAAAATAGTGAAAAAATAAAAGGCTTTATAGCTAGCCAGAAAGGTCTCTGAGATTGACATAAATCCTCATTTTGTCCATGATATTTGAAATCTTCAGTTTGTCCACTATCAATCATTATAGTCTTTATGTGAAATTTTTTGTTAAATAAGGACCAAAATGACAAAAAAATACCTTCAATTTAATAAGCAATTGGCCAACATGATATGAAAAAAAAAAAAAAAAATTGAGGGTATTTTTGTCATTTTATCCTTATTTAATAAAGATTTTTTGAGGAATGACAAAAATGATTGATGGTGGACAAACTCATGACCACTTCTATTGATTTCAAATCTCAAAGTCTAAAATGAAGAGTTACGCCAGTTTTAGAGACGATTTTGGCTAAAAAGCCAAAATAACATAAAATAACCCAGCAAGAATCCCCCTCCCCCTTCCAGGACGGGCACCCCGTCTTTGATTCCCCACCACCAAGTTGCATGGATGAATGCCTACAATGGAAGAAATTGAGAGGGTACAGGGGAAGCTACTTTGTCTCCTCAATGCCTACAGCGCCGGCCTGCCATGAAACTCAAGAATTCTAAGTTCAAATTCCAGCGAAAGCCTTCTTGCCAGTGCCGGAAGATCCGGTAGGAGTCACCTTCAAGACGATAAAACCTCTTAGTCTTGGACAGCGGCCTGAACATTGGTAGAGTACAAAAGAAAATAAACAAAATGAGCACTAGCGCATGCCAAATTACATATATAAACATGTAGTTAGAAACGAGCGGGTAGATCACCTGCGCTGGCCGATGGTAACATGATCTCCTTCCTTCACACGGAAGCATGGAGATATGTGAGCCGGGATGTTGGAATGTCTCATTTCAAATCTTAAGTAAGCGACATGAAAGAAAAAGATTTCAGAAGAGCAAAGAGGATGGTACTTGTTAATTCTCCAAAAGGAGTACTACAGATACAATAGAAAGTAAAAAAAAATGATCGCGAGCATCATACCTCTGATATTTCTTGATATAATGTAGATAATTCCTTCGAACGATGGTTGTTTTATTCATCTTAGAACTATGGCAAGTGCCAGCCAAGATGCGGCCCCTGATAGAAACATTTCCAGTGAAAGAGCATTTCTTATCAATGTAAGTCCCTGTAAGATACAATAAGCACAGTTAATACCGTATCAGCAATTTAATACAACACTGCACGTACCCAATACTGAGACAAGAAATGAAGAGTACAACCATGCCCAATTTGGAGTAGAACTATGAACCGAACTTTGGAAATCCCAAAAAACATAAGCATTTCAAGTGATTGATTTGAAATTCGACTTATTTCACGGAACAACACTCATATATCGAGATCATAATGGTACCTAAACTTTCTATTAGAACTTAGAATTCAACCCGACACAATAGTCTCTATCTGCTTAATTCTTCTAATTCAAAGATAATCGTGTATACGCTAATCAACGACATTGTTACATACCCTAAAGACTTCAAAAATGCAAATCAACTATAAAATGGGGGCAATGCTAATGCAACATTATTCAGACACCGTGTTCTAATCAATCCGGTTACAACTAATCAATCATACTAAAACGCTTCGAATTCATTCATTGCATAACTTGAACTACTACACATATAAAAGATAGTCAGATACATAAGTAGAAGGAAGAGAGAGAGAAGGGTGGGAGGGGGGCCTTCAATGGGGGTCTTGAAACCGAGCCCAACGATCTTCCAGAACCGGTTGCCGCCCTTTCCGGGTCTCTTCCCCTTCCCAGATTTCTGCGAGCTGGTTAATAAATTCGATTCCAGTAGAACAAAAAATAAAAATAAAATTATAAAAAAAGCCCAAATGCAAATGCATAATTAAGCAAAACAAATTTAAAGCAAAAAAATCTTAATCCCAAGAAGAAAAATTGAAATTTATTTGATTAACCGGTTACCTGATGAACACTTTGGGCTGCTTCAGAAACGCCTTCTCAGTCTGCAACCAAAAAATGTCAAAAATATCAAATAGAACGACTGCTTGAAAGATATAAACGACGACATTTTGGACACAGTAACAACTAGCAGGTATAGAAGAAAAGAACCGACCTGTTCCGCCATGATTGATAGCTCGAGAGGAGTCCAGGGGTTAGCAGAGGAGGCGATTCAACGTTCCACAACCCTACCCCTCTTACGTTAGCGCGCCGCGCCCGTGTTTGTATTAGCATAAACTTTCAAAAAAGGCGCGAATTGAGTGAGTTCGGGCCGGGATATTTTGGGCCGAATCCCACTCTGCCAGCCTTTGTTTCAGTTTTCTTTTTTTCGACGAGAGAATTTCAAGTTTATTTTTATTACGAGCATATTACTACTCTAAGCTATATTTACCAGCTACTTGTTTGCAAAAAATATATTCCCTAGATCAATTTACTACTTGTGGGAGATTTTGTCAAATATCGTAGTGCCATTTATGCATACAATTAATCGTATGTTCACGACAAATGATAAATGCGACCAAGTAACCACGTGTAAAGTTCTTATCTGTTAGCCCGTCAAGTTGGACAAAGATCCTCTCCAAATCTCACTATCCAAAGTCCAAGGACCAAACAATCCGAACCATTCAAATTAAATTTGACAGTCCTCGTAAACTCATTCCATCGGCTCGGCTCACAAAAATCAAGTACTTCGATCTCTCTGGCACAAAAACCAAGGGCTCATATTTCGTGGTCCTTAGCCTACGAACACTAAGGTCCAAAGAAGATCCAAATTCCGTCAGGTTAGTCCAATATGGTGAGGAAAGGAAATTAACAAAGCATCCATCTGCCTTCTGTGGATCAAAACTCCATGGAAAACTAGGCATTAATTAGCAAAGACGAAATTCTGTTTCATGAATTTTATGTAACACTATGATATTACATCCGACCAAAAACTATATCTCAATACTATCTCCACAACTCGAAAGGAATTTTTCCACCGTCTCGAATGAAGTGGAAAACAAGAAGCAATCTGTGTTGAAAAAAAAAAAAAAAAAAAAAGCCACACTTACTGATTGTGCTAAAAAAAAAAAAAATCGATCACTTTTTCACGACAATGAATAACGTTGCTTGAACTGTCCGATCATAACTACTCCGTCTGCATTGATGAAAGAGAAACAAGTTATAAACATCGGAAAAATCAAAGAACGCAGATAAGGAGTTCAAGAAAGAAAAGAAAACGGATTTAGATTTTCATCTACATCGTTGTCACCTTTTGGCGTTTTGAAGTTGGAGGATCTGGTTCAGAATCACTACGCTGATGGGATGACCCAACATTGGACGTTTCAGCCTGCAAAACAGAGTCATCTTTTTGTTCTTTATCACTTTTTGAACTGATTGGTAACATTTTGTTTCAGCCTAACATCAAGATTTACAACTTAATGTGCAGGTATGCTTTGTTTGGCCATTCATGAGAACGAGGGCACTGAATGTTGGCGTAAAATGCCATGGAAATGATAACTGGTGTAGAAAACGTACCCTGGTGGAAGATTCTTGGGCCATTCTGTGCTCAGAAGAATTTCCTGGCTCTCCCCCTGTGGCTTGAGATATGAATGGCATGATTTGGTGAAGCAAATTAGACAAAAATATTCCTTCATCGGTGGCCCTTGGCTCTGCTTCCAGTGCAGCTACAGCACCACTAGATGTCCTTGCCTGATCTGGTACAGAACCTGCAATCACTCCCTCCGCACTGCCATCTTCTACATGAATTTCACCATTCGGAAAGAGGGTCCTTATAAACTGTAATATACTGCTTGGGACCTGTCTCTCAGAGTCTTGGCTGTTTGGGGTTCCGCCAGCTGATAAAATATTGATACTGACACTTCGTGCAATAGATGACCGTCTGACATTGGGAGCTGATCCTGCAGGAAAAAGCCACTAATGAATACACTCAACCAATGACAGCAACTTAAGCACCAACGTTAACTAAATTAGAAGAGATGAAAAACTCAAATCCAGTCCTTGGATGAGCTACTCCCTAACTCAATTCTTGTGCGTAAGACCTTGGACGAGCTATGTGTTATTATTTGTTGAACTAATCTTTTCTTTAGATGCTACTTCACAAATTACGTAGTACAGAAAATTAAGACACAAGCAGTATCTAAATTAAAAGAACAAAATATTTGAGAAACTTCTGGCACCTCCACAGAAAACAAATTGTCCTCTCTTGGCACTGCCAAAGAGTATATTACCATCTCTTGCAGAATCTGCAGCATTTTGCCGTTCTGCTGCAGATTCAGAAGACTGCTGATCAGTATGGAGATTGGCGGTGTGACGGTCTCTAGATGCTGGAGTTCCTCGTTCACTACTCACATTCCCTGAAGCTACATGCTGAAACCTTCCAAGCAGTGGATAGTATAACCCTCCCGAAATACCAGAAGAATCTGATGGTTGGCGACTGAGGGAAGCAGGGACTGTTGCAACCATGGTCCTCATTGGCACTATCCTTACAGCCGGCTCTCCAGCAAAAGCTGAACCACCTGGGACCCTTGAAGTGGCTTGATTAGTAGGATCTTCACCACCAGAACTTGTTGCTGGGTTTCTTTGCCCTGACGGCTGATGAGTCTCCCCATTTTCCTCTCGAGTGGCATTGGGTGTGGTTGCTGACGAACCTTATGGATAAAATGAATAATTCTTAAGGTTAACTTCTACTTAAGCATTAAATAAAAGTAAACCAAACGATGGAAATAACCTGGGAATAAATACTTAAAGGTACCTCTTCGTATTTGTATATCAATACGCCTTGGAAGAAAACCGGTACCAAGTCCACTACCAAGACCAGAACCAGGCTGCACAGCTCCCATGGGGATGGCACCAAAGTTCGTTCCAGATTGGAAAGGAAGAGGCTAGCCAAATATGATTCAATTCAGTCAGTACAATAGAACTATTTTCAACAAGGTGTTAATTAAGTGTTTAGAAAGTTACAGTACCTGAACCATAATGGGATTAGGGCCAGTAGGGGATATGAAAACAGCAGGTCCAGCATTAACCACCACGTCAGACTGCATAAGATGACCCGGAGAAAAGTTTAGAAGTCAGCTGAGATCTAAATGGACAAAATGACATGACAAGGACAATTCCAGGAAACACTACCGGTGCTTGACCCATTTGCAATGTCATGGTTGTACGACCAAGTTCAAGTAAAAAGGCACCTAGGTTATGAAATAAAGCTCCATTTCTCGATGCACTAGCTTGGGTGCTCAACCGTGCTGCCGGATCAGTCACATTCCCTTGATTATCCAGTTGACTTGTAAATTGCTGCCAAGATGTAACATGAAAATCGCAAGGACCTTTTGTTTAACATGATAAATCAAACAGCCGAAAGCTTGTAGCTAATATAGAATTACAGTAACTAGATTGTTCTACTTTAAACAATAAATTGCCCATTTGTGACAACTAATGGAAAATCAAGCTACCAGCGTTGTCAACTTGGAACACCAATATATATACTTGCAATAATATAGCGAAAAATTACAATGACACATAAGAACGCACAAGTAAGGATTCTCCAACTTGTTCAGCGAGTAATTGTCGAGTAGAACGCATGACTTCTGCCAATGATGCAGGAGTGGGGAGCCCCTCTTGCCTTATCCCTGAACGTGAGGAGGAATTGGAGCTTTCTTCCATCCTATGAGTACCAGCTGCTTGATTGCTTCCCGCATCTATGCCTGCTGTTAAATGAGCTGACACTTAAAATATTTCGGCAAACTAGCACCATTTGTGAAACAATTTTATATAATAAAAATTCCTGCACATAGAAAACTCACCAATGGCCTCAAATTCACACCTCATATGACTCAGATATTGGGTTAAAGTGGTCAAAGAGTCAGGAATTACCTGCAAAGACCACCGATAAAGCAGAATATTTATACTATTGTTTCAAGGAGATTCATTAAGTTAAGTTCAAACTACACAAGAGATTTAAACTTAATCAAACAAATTGGAAACTTTTAACTTGCCAGAGGTGGCTGAGGCCCTAAAGGAAATGATGTTGAATGAATAAAAGTCCCATTTGATCTGTCAGATGGAACCCTTGTGGCAGCTTGTTCAGATTGAAATTGGGAGAAATCAAACATACCCCCCAAACCCAATGTCCTTTCTGGCCTCTGTGACCCATGTTCCTTCAGCATAGCAACCATCCCCATAACAGATTAAATATGTAAGCACAAAGTGCACGTGAATTTAAAATAGCAAATGATATACATATGCACACACACACGCAATATCCATTAAAGTGAGATTAGCTTCAGAAATTTTCAATTTTAAATTTACCCTGACTTCGATCCCTTCACTGCCACCTGCAATATTTGGCATTCCTATAGAGCCAAGAACAGCAGAGATTATCTGCTCAGACACAGAGATAAGGTGGAAATCACTACCATGAAAATTATTTACACCAAATAGGAATACAAATCATTTAGTTAAAGACTCACCCGATTGACTTCAGGTGCAAACCCATCCCCTTGAACAGGCATGCTGAAAGTTTCAATGACAACACCAGGGCCAACATGACGGCTTGTACTTGAAGCCGGATCAGTTCCTACACAGAGAATTGGCAGTATGAAAACAATGTCGATGACGTTAACAGTTGAATCAAAGATCTAGAAGAGAAATAAGGTTTGCCACTAATGGTAACCAATCTTACAAAACAACCCAGGAACCCAAACTATCAGATAGTTTGCCATCAATGCGTCCATAACTTAAAACATGTTAACAGATGTAGAATTGTAGAATACTACAATGTATTAAGATCAACCTGGATGATCTGGTAATCCTTCAGCTGATGGTGGAATAGGTTGTCTCAAAACCAAATGTAAGGTGTGGCCATCTTCAACATCTAAACTGTGTTAAGGAAATATCAAATCCATAAAATGAAAAGCTGGTGAGTATAATGGAAATGGGCTGATGAAGCACACATAGAATCCTAAGTAACATAGAGGTGCCACAAGGTTTTCAAAACTAAAAAATTCTTCCACAATACAAAAGACAAAAAGAATAGGATACGATAGGCGGAGAGAAGCTGATCATCCTTTAGAACTTTTCCTCGGCATATCAGTCGTTGTTGTTCTGATAGCACCCCGGTGACAGAAGCAATCTGTTCTTTCAAAGCAGGAACTGGCATCTGCAGTTCAGAAGACACAATTTGGTAAATTCAAACCTGTTTGGAAAACTTTTACAAAAAAGACTTTCCACTAGCATGTCCTCACATGTAATATCCCTTCACAAATAAGCTTCAGTACTAACGTTTAGAGTTTTCACACATAAAGCACATTTAACTTAAGGAAACTATCTCAAGCTGTAAGAACATATTATATGGGTACACTAAAAATGCATCAAACATTATGGTGGTCAAGATTGTACACAAGGATATAACTGTTGTCCAAAAGCAGGAAATATAATGAAAAGTCACAAGAGATGCAACCTGTTTATCCACCCTGAGAGTATAGGTCTGTGAATCCAATGTTTTAATTTTAATCTCAATAGTGGCTTCAGACCCTTCAACCTGCTCATCCATGGGAATATGTTCAGTACCATTACTACCCATGCTCCTCAGACCGCAACAAACCTGCAAAAGAGAAAGAGTATAAATTATGAAACAGCTTTCTTTCTCCATTATTAGAGGTTGGGATGGGGAAACTTGAGCATTAAATCGACTACTACTTTATATAATGACATTGATAATCGAAAAACATGAAAAACAAAATGAGAAAAAGGAAAAACCATTAATGTTATAAGGCATGCCCGTCTCTACTTAACCATAACACACAATTGTAGTAAAAACATGGGTAGCAATTCTTGGTTAATTCCCAAACCACCACAAGTATTTCCAACAAAAAACTCGAATGTCCAGTCCAACATATATACAATATGTTTGATTTTTCATAACCTAAGCGAACTTCAAAACGTGATTTTGTATAAATATAAACCATTTCTCCCTATTCTCAGTTAACAACATTGCACTAAATAGTCTGCACACATGCAAGGCATAGCATAAACGTTAGCATAAGGGCATTCATTACGGTTAAATGCCCCATCGCCTCAAGAAAATTTATGACCAAAATCTACTCATCACCACAAGAAAACATCGTAAGGGGAACTATAAGAAAAGCAACAGCACTCATATCACAATTTCCCATTCTCTTTTTTCTTTTCATTGGCAGCATCCATGACCCTTTTGACTTTGATCCACTCTCACTAGCCAGCACGCATAAAACTTTGTTCGATTTTTGCAGGCCGAAACAAGATTTGGTTTTGTTTGAATTTAACAACTTCGAATGAACAACTCAATTCCCATTCTTTTTGTCTTTGTGAAATAGGATTCAATCTCATGCAATCTCTCAAAACCCCAGTAAAGTGAACACCTTTTATTCATCCACACGAACACATGATTAAAAAACACATCCTAAACAAACAACAATCTAAAAACCTCAGAATTCCAAGAATCAAGAATAACCCAAGAACAAAAACCTCAGAATTCCAAAATCTAAAAAATCAACGAGGGCAATACATTCAAACCCAGAAAAACCAACCTAATAATCACCAAACCAAAAACTCAAAAACCCCCAATTGAACACCAAATTAAAATCGAAAAAAACGAAAACCCAATACACAAAACATGATCATAGTTCTTACCTAAGATACAGAAACTTCGAAAAGCTTCCAGAAGATGCAGAAGCGTGACAGAAGCCCTAGAGCGGCGGAAAACTATGTACAAAAGCCCTCTGAGACACAGAGGTTTATACGCAGGTGTGGTCTCTGCCACTGAAATTTGTCTGGGTCGTCGTCCGCTCTCTCACTGTGTGGCAAATGATGGCGGAGTAGGGCAGGTCAGGGCAGGAGGGAAATATTTGTCTACTAAATTTTTTGCCTAAATTGGTGGTGGCAAAATCGAGCGGTAAATATTATTTTTACCTCCGGATTTTCACCGTTGGGATTGGTTTTTCTCTTTTTTTTTTTTTTTTCTTACTGTTTGCTTCTTCGCAGTAAACAGTGAAGGAAGAAAAAAATAAAATAGAGCACGTAAAAAATTCTAAAAATATTATAAAAAGATATAGAAATAGGATGAACTTCTTATATAGGAAATTTTTTTTAAACCTAAGCTAAAATCAATAAATATCATCAATATTTTTTGATACATCTGTTAAATATTAAAAAAAATCTTAAATTTTGTCCAAAATAATGTCTATAATTCCTAAAATGTTGTAGAATCAGTGGGTGAATGCCCGCTCAAAGGAATAAAGACTTGGGAATAGTATTCGATACTTTCAAAAGTGTCATCATTGTATTTGGATAGTTGTTATTACGAGAGTTGTTCTATAAATATAACACTCTGTATGCTATCAAAACACAATGCGAAAGAAATAATCAAAGAAATAATATCAGTATCCCTCCCTCTCTTTATCTGTCATCCGTTTGTGTTAGAGCTACTAAGATTATAATGTGATATTTTGCGCCTGCTTCGCTCATGTCCCTAACAAAAGTTCTTTCTCTAACTTTTGCCTATTTATAACATAAAATTCATTTTAAATTTCCATCATTTTCATCAAAAGTAACAAATATTCGTTATTTGTCGATATTTTCATAATACAAATATCAATATTTTAAACACATGTTAGGATTGTGAAATGGGCTTTTGGGAATAATAAATTGTAATTTGTTGGGCTTTGACTGTTAGAGGGTTGTTATTTGTATTGGGCCAGTTGGCAATTGAGGTCACGTGACTTGCTCAATAGCCTTTTTTAAGAGAAATTTTGCATTTTGACGGAAATACAAATGTTGCATTACGTGTTTTTATGTAAGTGGTAAGAAATTTTATTTTTTAAGTTATTAACTTTTTAACACACATATCCCACCATTTATATAGTGACACATAATATACCACTTTGTATGCCAACCACATTGAAAAATCTATCCTTCCTTATATCGTAACGGTCATTCTTTGCGAAATTGGTTTTATCCTTCTATTGCTCCTTCGTCTTCTACCTCCAACTTCATATGCCATTGTTACAAGCAGGGCAAGGAGGGACGCCCACCCCTCTGGTCGTCGGAAATTCACATGCAGAGCAAGGAATCCGCCCATTCGGTCGTCAAAAAGCCACATAAATAGCCATGGTGTCGGTGGGCTGCTTGTTGCAAATGAGGGCAACTCCTACGCGAGGAAGAAGAACAAAAAAAAAAAAAAGTTGTTTTAAAAAAATCTTGGACCCCGTGAGGTCGTTTCAGCATTCCTTTTAAATGAAACATTGCGTTTTGTTACCTTTTCTTCTATCCTTCTTTTGTTGCTTTTCTCAGTTTTTACTTTCCCTTTTTTTTTTCTTCTATCTTTTTTTTGTTTGACTTAGTTCCTTTGATTTTGGTTAAATGGTTTGGCTTTGTCTATCTTTCTTTTGGTTTGATCTTTCTGATTGGTCCCTAATTATACTTTAAAGACATAAGTGCTTCAATGAAATATTTTAGATAAACCATACCCACAAAATACCACATAAAATAAGACTTTCAATACTAAAATTACCTTAATGTTGTTAATACAATATGGAGGAAGTTATTTCATACTCAAATTTGTATGGTTTTTTTTTTCAAGCCATTACTACTTTTAATGAATTTCCGATGTGACTTTGAGGACTTGTTTCATGTTTCAAATAATAAGAAAATTAATGAAAATGATTTGAAAACTTTTGAGTTTTAACCAAAAGGATAAAAATGTGTTGTAAGTAAATAGTATCAGGAGGGACTTTTTACAGTAAAAATGTCCTTAACGTCAAAAGTGAACAGTACCATGAGTGTTTCAGTAAGATTCCCTAATTTAAATCCATCTAGGCTCCTGCCTAGGCACCTAGCTGCTAGGTTCTAGTCCGCTGTTTGACTAACGCTTAACATTTTTTAGGATCTAATCCTAACCAATTTAAGCTTCTTACATTGACTTATTGCTTACAACTGCTTTGGTGGAGATACTATTTTTTGCTATGAATAGACTCAAAACTTTGCACTCTCCAATGTGAAAGCAACCGCTTTGATTGAACTTTGCACTCTTTTGAATTTCACCTTTTCCGTCGGCAAATCCTAGCTTCGCCACTGGTTACAGGGTCAAGGTTGAACCAGATCAGTGGGATGTCAATGATGAGAACAATGTGGACCGAATCAGTAATTCACCACCCGAACTTCTTGTCCGTATAGTGTCTTTCTTGCCGCTAAAGAAAGCAGTAGCTAGTAGCTACTAGTGTCCTTACAAGGCCATGGCGGTATGTCTGGGCGTCTACTATGACTCTCAATTTCGAAGCTATTAACTTTGAAGAAGGTGATACTTAACACCGCTTCTTGTACCTCGAAGAAGAAGCGAGAGACCAGGAAAGTCATAGCTACGTCAATTCGGTGAATCACGTTGTAGAGCAGCATAGAGGACAATGCATTGAACGATTCAGGGCTTGCTTTTTTATAGAAAACGGATTTGCAGCTTCCATTGATAAATGGATTCAATTTGCAATGGAAAAGAGGGTTGAAATACTTGAGTTGGAGTTTCTGGCAGAAACAATTGCTTTCTTAGGTAATAACTATACATTTCCCCTAAAACTACTACTGGGTCTGGAGATGGGTCCGTTTTCTGACGTTCCATGTCTACCGCGCCCTTGCAGAAACAATTTTGGTTTTAAGGCCCTCAAAGCTCTTCAATCGTTTTCAGTATGTTGGTGTGACAGGAGAAGCTGTTGAGTTCTTACTGTCCAACTGTCCAGTTCTTGAACGATTATCGCTGAGTTTCGCCGGAGATTTAGTTAGTCTAAGAGTTGTTGGTCCCTCGATCACATTCAAATATCTTCTGAGAATATTGTCGTGAACTCCAAAATATTGAGATTTTTTATGCAAAAATTGTTTCGTTTAGTCATCATGGATGGCTGGCAGATTTTCATTTCAAGAATGTGCCGATGCTGGTTGAGGTATCCATTTCTAAGTTTGGCGTTCTTGCTGAATTTTTAAGGGGTGTCTTCAGCCGACTCTCATGCCAACTGTTTCATATAGAGATTCCGAAGCTGGATATCAGAGGAGCAGTTAGTTACTGTATACCCCATGTTGTTATATATGATGTGCCAGTTTTCTTTGAGTTTTTTTTTCTTCTTGTTGTATTGTTTTGTTCCTAACTCCTTCGGTGGCTTTCAGGTTTACCATCAGAATTATAAATTTCCAGTGCTATCAAATCTGAAGCATTTGGAATTATTAGTTGATGCCGACTACTGTTTGTCCCTTGTTCACTTAGCTTCTTTCATGAACGCAGCTCCTAACTTGCAGAAACTTGTTTTTGGGGTATGTATGCGTTTGTTATCAATACATTACAAATTATAACTTGATGTTTGTATGTATGCATTTGCATTCGTATCTTCTCTCCATTCTTTTACCAATATTTTCGAAGAACCAATAGTATGAATATTGGGGAGCAAAAGTTAAGGCTTTGAGTTTTGTCAAACTGTTTTCCTTGATGCAGTTGGGTTTCGGATCCAATGCGGAGATGGCAAAAATAGAGAAAGCTGCCCTGTGCCCCCATCACAACCTCAAGATAGTAGAAATGACAGGGTATCGTGGTCATAAATGTCGTGTTAAGCACGTCAAGTACTTGATGAAGAACAATGTTGCACTGGAGAAGATCGTTATTAATCATGTCCAGTTTTGGTGTTGGCCTACGGGAATCGAGAGCAATGCCCTACGGGAGAATGAGGAAGAGAATGCGAGAGATAATGCTATTCAATATCTCAAGGAAAAAGTGCCTTCTACAGTAGAATTGTATGCCTGTAATAGCAACTTGTCATTGCAATGCAGTGCTTGTCAAGATGATATATCTAGAGTTTGTACTAGCGTCAACTAGTAGGCTTTGAGCCTTGACTTAGATGCCTGTATTAGTATCAACTGTGTTACTTGAGCGTTTTGGTCTTATTGGCTTCTTCTTTCGTAGTGTTTGACCTAGATGCCTGTTTTCCAACCGTTAAAGGTTGATGGCGCAACTGTAACTGTAGAGAAAGATTTCTATGTTACGAATGTATTGTCGCCGACTCAACTCACCATAATGCTTTGTGCCATAAAAGTTGTACTTCTCGGCTGTGTGGGCCGCAACGGCCAAACAGATGTTGACCCAACAAGAAACATGTGAGCCCACTTGTAAAGGCAAAATGAGTGATCCCTCAATTTTCACACCGAATGCATGCAATATCTCAAACATGGTGGCTCAGTCCAGAATCATTGGTGGGCCCCATTGCCTGATTCAACAAAGATAGACTTCTCCAAGCAAACACCTACTTTGTAGCCATTAGACTTAAATTTCTAGCTACTTGCAGATAGTCCAATCATTAATTATTGTCCACTATCTTCGATGAGATTTTCACATTATTACGTATTGTTAACTTGTTATCAATTTGTTAATGTTATAATGGAAAGAATACATCTTGATATAATTAGTATATGAATATCATAATCAAGAGAACGTCAGCAGAACATGTCTTTTTGTTTTTCTCCGAAACAAGCTCCTACTTTGCCAAAAAAAAAAAAAAAAAAACCCAATGGTCAATTATCTTTATACGTTAATGTAACATTAGGGTTACAACTAACAGATAATGTCCCAAGTGAGCACAGCACTCCATGACTGCTCTTTCATTTGTACTCAATCATCCAAATCTTAGCCATCAAAAGTAAAACAATAACAAAATCCCAATAGAATATCATAGTTCTCTATACACAAAGCTAGCCCTAAATTCTGCAGCATTTTCCGAAATGCAGTCCAACTTCTATATCTAATATTTCCTCATTTATTTTGTCCAACACCTTTCCACTACTAGTTTTTGTGTTTTTCTTTGTTTATCGTTATTCACTACTAGAAACTCATCAGTTGTGTATCGGAGGTTTTCTCCTCGCCGGAGAATAGTCCATTTCCGTCATGTCTGCTAGGTCCGGATAGTGTTGGTGAGCTGCAGCAGCCTCCTGCTGCTTAGAAATAACTGGTGATTTTGCTCTGACATTCCCATTTTTTCCACCATGTGGTGTAGTACTTTTAATGTTTTCGCCTTTCGGTTCGGGACCACCTCTCTTTTCCCTTCCATTCTTCTCATTCTGTAAATGGATCACATAGAGGAAGTTTTAATTCAGATCTAACCCTTGGAAATTATCAGTATATTCTAGTTACTTTCATTAATTAAAAACCAACCTTTGAAGTGGTGGTAGAGGTAGCACTAGAGGGGGATGTGGCTGAGATTAGTTTTCTAGTGCTTCCTGCAACAATACAAATGAAAACCACTTGATTAATTTTGGTAGGTCCTCTTTTTTTAGCAGGAACTTTAATTTACTGCATAATCTTACTACGAAAATGGCCACCTGATTTAGTAAAATTCAAGACTAGTGCAAGTCAATAGTTAGATTAGTTTTTTCGGGACAAAGATTGTTCTGCAGAATACATGGTAATTGTAGAGGTTTCATTCTTCTGAAAAGTCAAAACGGAAGACTAAATAATTGTCAGACGGTCCTTTTAATGGCCGAAAATAATGGATAAAAGAAGAATGAATTGATGATCTAGCTCTAGCTCTCTATAAATTAGGGTAACTAAGTAATCCTAATGGTGCTTGGGTCTGTGATGCCTAGGTCCGCAATAATCTTCATGAATATTTCGTAACTGGTGGTGTGACGACTTCTTGGATTCTCTAAAAACTGTTTTCTTGAAGGTACCTGATGATGCAATATTACTAGGCTCTCCTGCAAGATCAGCTGCTGCAAGATTACTTCTTTTCACCACAGTATTTTCCTCTTTCTGCATTTAACAAAAAAAATTATGGAATTACTATTGTAAGAAAAATGTTGTACTAAAAGAGTAATTAACAAACGTATATATGTATAGACGAGGAACTTCATAAGGGATTCTGTTGCACTATAGCAAAAACGGAATGGTTATATCACTCATATATTGCATATACATCAATATATCACCCACGTATTATCATAACGTGATAACCTATCCCCTTTTTGCTACAGTGCCGCGGGATCTTCACTAAGAACAAAGAACAGAAGTACTCACGTGGATATTATTGTTCTGCTGTCTAACCGAGATGAATACTTTCTCCAAACGAATCCCTTCAAGAAAGAAAACAGCAACAAATATAAGTTACATGCATAACCAATATTCATAACAATAACTAGGCGTACAAGTGAATATGTTGCATATATATATATATATAATTGTCTATGTACCTTGAGCCTGAGAAAGGAGGAGGGACAAAAGAAGAAGAAGAGATACTGCTCCAGATGAAGTAGTCATTTGGAGTATATCTTATGAATCTGCAGAGATAGCAGATCAATTGATATCGAGAGATGAAAAAGGATTGGATGTCAGGAACAAAACTGTTGTGATTTCTGCAGGTTTCTCTTTTCAGATATATCTGTTGAGGAACTTGAATATGGACAGTATGGGAACTTCTGAATGGTTTATGGTTGGGGGGATGCCTGCTTAAATACATACATATACACGCACATATTTATACGATCTTTGGGCACACATTTAACTTCTCCCCGACAAGAGAGTTTTGTGTCCAAGAGATTTTTGTGTCGAAACATGTCCTGATACTAACAAGTGTAATAATAAAATTAGTTAAAAACTTATAAAAATTAACCAATTATATTATGACACTTAGTGTAATAGATCATGTTCCCAATACACTATTTTCCCCAACATGTAACTTGAGTGGGATAAAGTGTAAGTCTTTGTCCAAATAAATTAAAGACATCTTTTAGAAGGATATAATAAAAATTTGGATTAATGTTGTGTTAATGAAAATTCCAAGTTCAAAAGGCAGCTGATTATGGGGACAAGAATTGTCTTTTACTCGTATAAAGTATGAAAAGCAGATTTTCTTTGCATAGAATTAAATGTCCCATCTTTTCAGGGGATGATGAGGATTTTATCCTCTTTTCAAATCTTGTTTTAAATATGAATTAATCGACCAAGATGATTTACCGGTTTACTCTATTTACTCGAGAACGTAATAATACACATTAGGTGAAAAGTGATATAGACATGACATGAGAACGTAATAATACACTTCGTTAATTGCACTAGTTAGGTTTTAGTCCTATATTCTCATATGCATGATGTATCAAATCACATTTCACAATTCGTACACTTTTGCTTTTCATGTTGTATCTCATTGTTCACGCAACAAAATAAACACATCTTACCGTGGGATTAGACAACATGACTTGCCAAGTGATACCAACTGCTATGCTTTAATACATTATTTGGTCAGTCAATGAATTTGAAGCTTTGTTCTTGGAGGAAGCCAACAGACATCATATGTGGTAAAGCATAGGCATTCCGTTTGGGTGATTAATCAGATCGTATGGTATGGGTGATTGGAGTGAGGGATGGGACTGTCCACACTGCATGATGTAATTTATGAAAAACCTTGGTAAATGGAAATTTCATGCATATTTACTTAATTTGTAAGTTATAACTCAAACCGAGATCCTCGCTGGATCTCATATTTCAGAGCAAAAGGAGTGAGTATTCTGGACAACTCCTTAATTCCAAATTTTACGATCTCATTAGTTTATCCTACTAGCCCGCCTAAAAATAAAAAAAAATTAAAAATTAAAGGTATGAATCCCTTTCTCCCTCTCTCCCCCTCTCTCCCTATCTCCCTCTCATAAACGGTCCAAATAGCACTATTCGTTGCCTCTGGAATACCAAGACTGACATTTCAAGTTGAAAATCAAAATTCTTCTTCATCATTTGATATGTCGAATAACTCTATCTCCTTACATTGTTAGTTTGGGGGTTTAGGTTTATGCTACTTTGGTATAGATATATAGTAAATAAATATTAAAACCTGATGTAAAGTAAAAAACACATTGTTTTAATTAACCGGTCTAATTTACATGTGCATGGAGTTTAAAACTTCATATTTGTGTTGAAATGTTTGATATATCCAGTGAGAATATGCTAATGACAAGAATTTCAATGAGAATTATCGCAATGGTGAATTAAGCTTTGTCACGACTTGAGCTACCAAAAACGAAGTGGGTAGCAAACCCACGTGTCACCGGCGACAAGGCGGAGTAAATGCGACGGCGACAGGCGAAGTTGAAAGTCACCATTTCACAACTCCTACCGGACTTGGCAATAATGTCTCTAGCTACTGGCTGCTTTCTCACGACCACTCCACGTGGACGTCCACATCCAGCGGCCCCCACCAGAATATGACGTGGCAAACACTTCGGTCATGTGAGCACCGCCGCATCATGAGGCATGTCTGTCCTTTAACCGTCAAAGAAACATCCCGGGACCCGGGACGACGTTTGTCGAAGCTGCCAGGCGCGCGGGAACGTGACGACATTCGCAAACATCTCCTTCCAGGGCGGTTTGCCGATCATAGTGTGCTTATTAATTTTTTTTTTGTTTTAACAAAAAAATTTAGAAGAAGATTGGCTACTCTCACCATCAACATCAAACCTAAATCATAGCCTTCGTTCTCTTACCTCCATTGTTCTAAAATTCTATTTCAAGCACCACATGCCCTAGAAAGTGGTTATTCAACATAGTATGTGTGTGTGTGTGTGTGTGTGTATATATATATATTTTTTTATAAGTACGTTTTGAGATTGATTCTTGTTTCTTATTTCTTTGTTGGTTTACTAAGTGAAGGGTCAGGATTCAAGCCTACACGTAAATTTCTCTTTTCCCCCTCAGCTCTTCATGCACATGGGCCTCGAGGAAACATGTGCTTAATATACATTGTTTACTCATTTTATATGTAATAAGTTAAGCTTAATTGTCTATGTTATTTAAACAGGAACAATATCCCTCACAACTATTTCAATGATGTTTTTAATCACTCAATCTAATTTATTTGAGCGATGACCTTTACCTGACAGAATATGGTCGGATAAAATTATAGATGATAAAAAGGTATTTTATCCAATAAAGTTTATTCGTCTGGAAGGAAAGGGATTTTTTTTTTTTTTTTTTGGGTTAGTGACGAAGCTACTTTGGAGACCTTCTTTTGGAACTATATTCATACGACCATACTATTGTTTAAGCTCAAGACTGAATAAACTAGACACCATCATTCACCATGGGAATATGCTAAGTTTCGTGCATGTTGTTTGTCATAAAAAAATGCTTGAATTGTGGGTTGCTGTCATTGGCATGATGATGCAACTAATTACTAATTATTTTCCTCAGACATTGAGAGTTTCAATTATGCTTTGTACGTACGTGCTGTCTATAGTTATATACTGAATATTATTTCACCCTATAATTATTTGTTTTCTCCCTCAGGACTTACTACTTAATTTGAAATCTTTTATCAAAATAGAACGATTAACTTTTTGTTCTACTTGAAATACTGTCACGTAATATTACAATTTCATTCAAATTTAACATATGTATTTATTTTTTATTAATATATGTTAAAAGTGAGACATATTAAACATATTACTCATCCATATTATAACACATAAAAAAGTACATTGCATGATAAATGTATAAAGTGCACATCAAAACAAAACTTATCAAAAGGAAGGGCAGGAATATTTATACACTATAAGAAAAGTGTGTCTCCTACACATAAAATGATTGTTAATTAAAGTCATCGATGCAAATAATTAATAAAAATAGTGCATGCAGAAGCAGAACCGAAAACTCTGAGCAAAAGCAGTAAAGGACCACAGAAACCATAGTCAATTAGACATCGATCAAACTATCATAATCATCCTCTAGAGCCGCATGTACATGGAATAATTTAAGATATTTAGTTAATTAAATTATTATGGGATTAATAATATATTGCTGGAGAAATCCAAGTTACATAAAAAGTTGGATTGAGAAATACGTATTGATCAGCCGACACTCGACAGAGAGAGACATCACATGTTTTTGGGATTGAATTAATGTTTGAATTGGACAGTCCAGTGATTTCAACGCCTGCATTTTGTTCTAAAGACATGTTTTTAGGGTCGTATGTCTGGTTACATTTACAACCAGATAATCCAATTCGAATTTGAATATATGGGATCGAGCTTCCATATTTGAAAGTTCTTAACTACTGTATAGAGACTTTGAACATAAAAACATCGAATTATGTATTAAGTTGTCGTTTATTCTGGTTGACAATATATATACTTGCAAAAATTAATGAGCTGAGAAAAAAAGCTAACCCAATATATTTCTTCCTCTAGCGTAAAATTTGATAGTTATCTGATCCCCATCATAATCCGCTAGAGAGACTTAAATCCCCATCATAATCCGCTAGAGAGACTTAACGGAAATCGTTGTCGTTAATTTAGTGGTGGGGGTGGGTAAGGTGATGGATTAAACAGCTAATTAACCCTAGGTATTTCCTCAACTAGCTTATATATAGCTCATCACAATCCGCCAAAGAGACTGATGAAAGCCAATGAAGTTAACTTAATTGTGGTGAGGGTGTGTATGATGATAGGTAAGAGTATGCTAGATCATAATTCGAATGTAACCAAAAAATTAAAAATCTCTCAAAATATGGAGAAATTTGTGACGAGATAATAAATACTTTGTTGGGCGATTTATTTGAACAACGTGGAGACATGCATATTTAATATTGGACCCAATGGATAGGTTTATGATATGACATGGAGGTTTTGCACAGACCGTCGTGATTCATGAAAATTAATTTGGTTGGGATCGACGTGACATCTCATGCATGCATAAATGCCAGGTTAGCTATCCATAATAAATAAATCATGATATAATGATATGAATATACATTTAGCATCCATGAATTTTTACTTCGATTTTTGAAAGTTTGTGTGAGACGTGCTAGCTAGGCAGACCTTCTCTACCTCTTAAGATAAACTGATTCATGTGCAAGTGCCGCTTAGATAGAACCTTTCATCTCTTCGGTCTGAACATTTAACTTGTCAAATTAACGTACAATGGGAATTGGAAAATGGGAAAGTGGGAACCCTTCTCCTTCCCAACGATACAAACAAAAATAGAGTCATGCAGGGATTTGAAATGTTTGTGAACTTGTCGTCTCCACCAAATTGTGAAACATGATCAATACCCAAATCATCATGTATTATGGACACAGAAACATGTTGGGTTTTCGTTCCCATTTTGTTTGTTTGTAGGCCTTCCATACCCATATATATGTGTACTAGTGTGCACCTAACATGTGTTTTCCATCCTGCTACATTGGCACATGGGTGCCATCCCTCGCATACAATTAATGTATTGTAGAAGCACTATTTAATTAGAGAAATTAAAGATAGATATCATATTGGTTTAGTCAAGTTAATTAGATCAGTACATTATTTTAAAAAAAAATGTACCCACAAATAGCGTGAATGCTACAATCATTGATGATGGCACGAATGCTATGTTACAATGATGCTGAATGATCAAGTAGCTCATTTGAACTGAATATTTTCGCCAAAGAAGCTCAAGCTGCCTCCTATGCATCATGAAAGATTGTCAAGAT